TAAACTTTTTAAATCAGAAATAAATCAGTAGTTTTAACAAGACTCGATGTTACACAAGTACTGTTGCTATTGTCTAATATTGTTTTGTTTTTCTCTTTTTAATTTTTACATTTAATCCATTTCCTTTTTTATATGCATCCTATGATTGTTTATTACAACGAATTTCACATAATTTCGTTTTTTAATTGTGCGCTTAAGTGATAGAACATATGTCGCCCACATTACAGATGTTGTTATTGTTTTTGAGGGCCACAAATAAGTGCCTATTGCTTAGAACAAAGAGATGCTAATATTGAAGAGGTTCATTCGCTTGAATGGATTGTAGACTGCCCAATATCAGGAGATGATCATATAAAGAAGTTTCACTAAGTAAAAATTAAACTGTATCATCGTTTCTTGTGTAAAGTAACTATTATCTGTTCCTTTGGCATGATTAAAGCAAAGCCATTAAGTTAACTAACACTGTAAAGTATGAAACAAAGATACCTACACGAATTTTTCTTTTCATAGTATTAATCCGTTAGAACGAATACATTTATTTTTTCATCGAGGAAAACATAGAAGATGATATGTTCTCAATATCAAAGAAAAAATAAGAGCTGTTGATCAATGCATTCGTCGTAATAATCATATATTATTTAAATGAAAGTATATAGACAATTCAAAGCAAACTGATATTTTTCAATCACCTATTCTTTGTATTTTTCTAATGAAATTTTACTAAAATTAATTATTTTTAACATGATGACAACCTCAAATACATAATCAATCACCTTAACAATCTATATCAAATGAAAAAAAGTTAGTCATGAATAAATCATTCAACTAGTTTATAATGAAAAGAAAGTTAACATAATAATATCACAATAAATTCTACATTGCCTATAAAGGTGTGATGTTTTTTTAAATTATTTTTTTCACAGGTGAATGAATAATCCGTAAAATAAGGTATGCAATTTGTTTTTTTTGCAAACAATCTGTCTTACCATTCTTTTGTAGCCACTACTTTTCCTCCGAAATTTTCTGTTGAATAACGATGGCATGGCTCAAGTGTAACACCGGAATTTTTATTGAATAAATGTAAAAAACGGAACATCTAAATTATTTGTTTAATATTTTCTAATATTTTTGATGTTTTTTTTTTTTACTCACATGTTCTTTAAGAGCAGTTAATTGTGCTGAACTTTTACGTGCAAGTAGATGATCATACCAGTTTCCAATGGAAGTCAATTCAGTAAAACATTGTTCATAATCAAGATGTTGTTGAAATTTTTCTACAGCTAATTTCCATTGTGGTGATAAACGACGGTTTGGTCGAAAACGAACATTCATTTTATGTGTTGTAAATCCAAACATACTATCGACAATGATCATTGTTGCAAGATCATCGTTCTCACTAAATAAAAGACAAACAGGAAATAATTGCATGAAAAATTCAAATAAGAGTCTTTACCAGAGATCAGCTACTGCTCGAGGTATTCCACTGTACATGATGATCAATTTTTGATTACAAAATGCAATCAAAATTTCATAGATTGATTCTAATATCAATAGCCATTATGAAATAGTAATAGTTTGAATCTAGAATGAATATGGTATAGAAAAAAAAAACAAGAGAAGCCGTAAATAAAGATTATTTTCGCATTCATACAATTTTTGCAAGAAGGATGCCGAAAAAGAGACGTTTTTATTGTCAACTAAGTAGAAATGTTTCTAACCAATACGGTTTAGTTATGAATCATCACCAGCATATGCATGTTTGGTATTAACTGACATCTACATAGTGCTATATACATAGGTCATAGTGCTTAAAATTGATAGAAGCTTTTATAATGATCTACATCTGAGATCTGAACAATATCAATCGTCGTTATAACTATTGTTTATTAAACACAATTAGACAAAACAATATGTTATTTACTAAATGGCATTTATCGTTCATAAACGTGATGTTGAGGAAAACTGTTACATAATTACCGACACACTTGCTAGATTCAGCCCGAAATCAAATACTAACATAAGGCCTGTTGTTCTATACATTGTTTCTTAATAAGATCGCGACCAGTGAACGAAATCTAGGTGGGTTTATATCATTCATGATTAACTCATACTAAATAGAACACTGGCGACTTTTAGACTAAAGGCTGCAGACCGAATTGAGTTTTACTATTTCTAGATCGGTTCGTTTTTTGTCTCTGTTTCGGACATCATTCAATTTGAGATTGTTTCTATAGACAAATCTCAAGGAGATTATGATTAGCTTCCAAAAGTTCGGATATATGTTGTATTGGAGCAGAGTTATGATTGTCTTGTTTCATTTTTAATCCAGAGTAAAGCATTTCCGAAACTATCGAATTGAAGAACTTAATTTTGAAATGTTTTAATGATTATAAGTTGTAGCTATCGACAACTTTACAAGATCAAGTTCTTGATTTTGATATTTTCAGAAATGCCTTGCTCTAACTAAAAATTCAGTGAAATAGTCGTAAGTCTTCAAGTTGAACGGTGTTCGCCAGTAAGGGAAGCTTTCACAACTGGTGTTTTACTTCCATGGAGCAGTGTTCCAATTTTTAACAAAGTTTTCCGTCTATAAAAACTGATACTTAAGCAGTGCTCTATAATTCTATAATATCGTATCATATTTCAAGTAATATCATAATAATAAAGTTTCGATGAACGCCGTCCGTCTTTGTTTTAGATGAACAAGAAAATATTTAATTGCTTTATTAAAATGGCGTACTGCACTTCATATTCAACGAATAGCTATTCATAGTGAGATATACTTTGTCTTCAGCGATGATATTTAACCTTTTTAGACAATTCAACAATGTCTTCAAGGTCGGGATAAGGATAAAAAAATATGTACGACTTGGTAGATCTGAACTCGAAACAACATTTGAAAATATTCAACTAGTCCCGTAGGCTTACTGATGATGATCGTCTATGAACATTGACAAATGACCCTTGTAAATTCGTCCCTGTTATAGAAGCATCTATTAAACTAGTTCTAATCTTTTGAGGCTGAAAAAAAAATCATCGCTCGTAATATACTTAAACAATTGATCGATTCTTAGATAGGCAAAATCACTTCGAATATGCAAAGAAAATTTAACGAAATTTGAACAAGTAACTCGTACATTATGTGATATGATGACAGATAATCAGTCATGGCTTGATCATTAACAAATTTGTTGAAAATTATCGAACACTGTCTAAATACCAAATGCAGACCCTTCACGAGAACTGGTTTGATGCAGTCGTATCGCTCTACGACCCTTGCTTTATATTTTCCTAAGTCATCTACTCAGATTTTAATCCATCATATTAAGCGAGAGCAAACTGTTGATTACGATTATTACATGAGCATCTATGCAGTCGGCTATTAGCAGGATTAGGAACTAAAAATCCTCTGGTACGAATGCAACTAAACTTCACTACAATAATGGAAAACGAGATATTCATAAAGACGTATCCAATTATCTTGCATCGGAAGGAGTCAGAATAGTAGTCCGAATCTGGTATCATATGTCTGAACTTAACAAAATCTAAGCAATTAAAACGATTTTGAATCGTTATATCATGATATGAAGAAGTTCATAAACTTATTGAATAAAGGCATGTCATTAAAACCACCTAAACTAATGACTTTTATTTACCAAAATTGCAATTAATCTAAAACTTTTAAAAAATTAATGAATGAGTAATTATAATCTATTTTCTATAAAAGAATCCAGAAGAATCACGATCAAGATCTTCTGGAGATTTCATTCGGAATTCTATCACGAGAATTATGACTGCTATCAAGTTTCATATGCGATATAATTTATTGTTGGATTCGTTTGAGTATCTCATAAATGAGACAGATGTGGTTTTCTTCCACCTTTCCAGGTACATATAAAAATACAATTTTTCTTTCAATTCTACTTACCAATAATATTGTAGTGGATATTAATCTAAATAAAAGAAATATAAATTATATTGTAAAACTTCTACGAACTGATGAAATGGATGTTGCGATTATTCTGAAGATGAAAGAATATAATTTATTTTATAAACGGATACTTACTAATGAAACCGTTATTGTGATTAATTTCCATGAAAAAAAGATCATAAATTATCTTATGAAATAAGACTCAGTGATGAAAATCTAAAGAAAACAATTTAGTTCTTAAAATATTTATACTTACTATCTAAGTTATGAAATAATTCCTCTAATAAAATAATATGAATTATCAAAGAGTTGAAAAACCAAAATGATCATGTCTTCTTTTCTTGTTAGTTGAAACTAATCATATACTAAATATTTAGTCCGAAGTTTCTATCAGATACAATGGCATCATAATACTGAAAATATTTTTTAAAGCAAAATCATCAGAATTTTGTTTGTTTTGTTTTCAGTAATTTTACAATTAATCGTCAAAACTTAAGCGATTTTAATGACATAGTAAGATGAATATGAAAAAGAAACACTTTCGATAAATAAATATATAGTGAGAGAACGTTTCCTTAATGTTCCTATGCGGTATTAGAACACGAGAGTCGTTGGTTTGGATAAAGCTCAAGTACATACTTCTTTACATGGTACGGAAAAAGAATATATTCTATCAAATTCAAATATTTCAATTGTATTTAACTTGAAGATTCGGTCATAACTGAAACAAACTCATAAATGTAAATCTAATTTTTGTTGTATTTTCTCTTCCTTCAGTTCATGGTAATAGCTTGGCCTCTTTGAATACGTTTTATGAAAGATAATAGCAAAAGTCTTTCACAAAAATCTTGAACTTTGTTTTTCATTAGGTTAGGCATCAGTTAGATATGTATTTTGGAAAATTAATCTTCTTGAGTCTCTAAAATACGAGTATTTGATCAAGTTATTCTGCTGAATAAATGCATTTTGAACATGTAGTCTCTAGTTAACAAATTGATAGGACATTCGTATCTTAGAAAACCTACTATTTCAACTCATTTTTATTTATTTAAATAAGAAACAAAGTTTTCTAACTCAAGTCAATTGATGAAATCAGTAAAAAGACAGGTGATTGATCAATGTTAAATGTAGAAGGTTTAATCTTCGAACGTATAGGTAAAATCATAGCAAATAATGACTTATATTTCAAATCGTTCAATGCTTCAAGTTTTGTTTGTGAATTTTCATCTGCATTCCCATATTGTTCATGATTCGAATGAAGAATGGTAGGTTTCGTAGTAGTCTGTAAAACTCTTGGTGGTGATGGAATTTGAAGAACTAATGGATAAGATGTTGTTGAAATATATCGATGATTTGTAAGAGAAAAATGTTTATTGGCAATAGTAATGCTGATTGATAATTTTAAGTAGTAAAGAATCAAAAGAAAAACAATAATAATACTTGACATTAAACAAAAGACAATATTCGATAGTATAAAGAAATACTGTATTCTTTAAGTCGTTTTTACGCGCCAGTTATCATCTTGTATGAAATTGACTAATCTCTACTAGCAAACAGGGTTGCCAACTCTAAATTTCGGAAATTTGTAGATTGTTTGAAAAGCTAAAGAATCACTCATACAATTTATTGTGCCTTGCCTTTATTAAATGAGTAAAGAGAATAATCATCTCACACATGATATTAAGAAGAGACATGTATTCAATTGTATATCGTAAAATCTTAAATAAATCCATTCTTGTGAATATATCTATTTCAATCGCGATACAATACCGAGTTCATGGTTTCGATTACCAGACTAGTTAAAAAAAAGGGTGACCAGAAGAACGTTAGAAATTACAGAACTAAGCGATTTCACAGTTTTTCGTCATGTTTCTTGCTTCGAACTTAAACGGACTTGTACTAGAAAACGGCTGATTTATTGATTGGTAACAATCAGTCTACCAAAGACTGGCTGCTCTATCTAACTGGTAATGGCTTCAACTACAATACAGTCAACTGAACGTAAATAATGTCAGATTTTCTTGTGCTTTATTTACTGTGCTAGAATAATCATCGACAAACGTTCAAGATTTCGACAACTTTCTTTTAGCATTTAATACATTTAAGATTTTCCCTTGTTCGATATTTTTGGAATTTTTTTCCGATATTTTGACCCATTTCTGTGTTGCTACATATTTTATTGTCCTACTATTCTCACATCCATGTCATTTATTGATGAAAAAAAAAGTAAACATAAGTATTTTATAAGGATCTGCCAAAAAATAAATTGACAATGGAAAGCAAGCTATTAGAAATACCGTCCCCACGATGTTGACACTATGACTATATTTTTTCTGGTGAGAAAAATTTGTCTTGACAATTCTTAATCATTGGAGAGGTAATTTTCAAATTTTATAAAGCTGAAATAATCGTTTATTGAAACTGTCTTCTCGCCATCAATAAAGTGATATAGTATTCAATATTTTTAAGGCTGCAATCTCGCTTGCACTAAACATTCAAAACAAATACAGAACATCTAATGGAGTTCAATTTTATGAACTAATTACATTTTCACAATCAAGAAGATGAGCTAAAAGATTATTGCCTCAAACTACACCAGTTCACTTTTCTATGCTTATTTTGTTGATTCAAATTGTCACTAAATTCGAACTCAGAAGAACTCTGATAATTAGGAGGTTTGACAAGCCTGAGTTTACAATCCATAAACCTTTTTACGATAAAAGACAATGTATAATCAGACTGTTTTTCTTAATTTCCTTGATTAAACAATTCATGTTACACTTATTTTTTGTTGATTTTTTCAATGCTGTTTATTTATTTATTTTTCTTTTTTTCTCCTTCAATAACACAAGATGAAAGATGAATAGAAAAAAAATTAAAACGATTTTGCTGATGTTTGATGTTCCATTGTTTGTTTAAGTAAATATCGTTTAATTTCGTTCGACATCATCTTTACGTGCCAATGGTGTATCACGTTTCTTACGGAATGAGCAACCTTCTGTAAGACGTGCTTTGCCGCCCGATGGTGAACAAAGTACATAATTGCAGCCAACACATAAAACAACAGTTTGTGCATGACTGAAGACTATAGAATAGTAAAATAAAATAAATTATTGAGTTTTATGTAAAAATTTTTATTTATTTTACCTGTTGTAATTTTGTAACAACCTGGGCATTTAACATCCATAAAGAATGAATTTGGACTTTGAACAAGTCGTTTCTTCTTGTGTTTTCGACGTTCTTCGTCGATTGATGGGTGAAGGAGATCTTTAGCTAATGGCATTGTATTTTATTTACGATTGGATGTAAATATCTGAAAAATACGTTAAGTGAAGCGACTACTAAGTTTATATTTATATTTATATGTATATATATTTATATTAAATGTGAATATGTACAACTGTTGCAAGAACAATATTTTGTTTTTCATTGTATGCTTTTGTTCGTATGTATAGATAGTATCTGATCGAAGACAAGAAAGAAAAAAAGAAAACAAAAAAGAAAACATTGATGACTTTTGCAAATTTTGGAAGAGCACTAACAAGCAAACAAAAAATATATTGCAGAAAAACATGATTAACATCAAACCGGAAATATATGGAAACACGAACAATCAACTAGATCCTTTTTGTTTTAAATACATGTATATGATATATCATTTAAAATATTTGGCAGCACTAACTAAGATAAGTTTTTCAACAAATAATTCTGAATCTAATATTGCTATGTGTGCTGCACGACCAATAAAATTGTTAGTGCTCGATGGAATATTATGAAATGCATTATAACGAACAAATGTTATTGATGGATTGCGAAGTATTGGTTCAAGTAAATTATTTATCATTTCAACATAAATCGAACCTAAAAAGAGTAGAAAGACATATTTCAGTGAATTACAAAGTAGAAAATAAAAAGTAAATTATAGGAAATGAGAAATATGGCATATAGCACGTTTGTGCGCATTGCTGCCAGTATAGTGCATACTATACGGAACATCTAACCGACGATTGTTGTCCACTTCGAATCACATGGGATCTTATATCATTTTCTTTCTGTACTAAGACAAAGTGTGATAGGTTCTTCAATCTATTACAGAGATGGAACCAGTCTACCAATAATTGTAGCGGCTCGATTTTTGAACAGTGTCATTTGGCATAGCTAACTTTGAACGAAATTTCATCACACGTTTCATATGAAATACTATTAAGACCAGTAGAGTATTGAATAAGTCTATATAACCAAAGAAAGTAAAGTAAGTCAGATGGATTGATTAGTCTGGAGTCAGATCGAATTGAACTGGCTAGTGACCAGTATTGGTTCTATCTTTACTCTACTATGATCAGTGAAACTAGAAAATCAAGATTTTTCTTGAGTAGAGTTCGAAATTATAGGCTAATATTCACAGAAATTAAAGATGAGTAGATGTCATATGAAAAAAACTCGAGAATGGCAATAGCTAGGTGAAAAATCACTGAGACTGAGACTCGATTCGGTGTACTGAGATCATAACTAGGATTGGCATGAACAAAACTTAGTCTCGTACATTTTGTTCAGAGTTCTCATTCATTGGTCTGTAGCTGTTATCACTGTCAAGTTACTGAGCTTACAGTATACTCTCTTTAATTTTGTCATAGACATTGGATAAAAAAATTCATAACCATGAATGATTCTAAGTAACTTTCAAAACATAGACTATTTCAATATTCAATACAAGCGTATGAAGAATTTAGCTCTAGATTTATCTCTACTAATCTTTTTTTTTTGTTAAATACAAAACTAAAAAACAAACCATAAACAGCGTCTTTTAATGCTGCTTTGCAAAGTTCAATTCGAGCCGAATGAAATGGAACATAACGATCTTGAGGTGAAGCAATTAATAGAATGTTTTTAAAATATTCTAAACCTTAGAAACAAAACAAAACAAGAACAAATAATAAAAATAATCATTTTATTTATTCATTTATTGAACTTACAAGGTTTTTTACTAAGTTTATATAAATATGTTTGCTTGGGATCAACATGATCTTTAAATGACATTTGAGATAAACTACAAGATTTTTTCCATTTTTGCATTAACCACATGCCTTAAAAAAAAGAAAGAAAATTTCCTTTTCGTTTATTAAAAATAAAAAAAAAAAACATTAACGAAACAAACCCATATTAACTAAACCACTTGAATTAAATAATGTTCCTAAATGAGGTCCAGATAATGAAAGATACGTATAAAGTATTGTTCTATATCGTTCAAAACGTGGATGACTAACAGTAGCACGTACAACAAGATTTCCTAGAGAATGTCCAACAAAACTAATTCGCTGTGGTTTAAGTCCATAACGTTCAATATGTGCTTCAATTTCATCAATAAGTTGTTTAACCATAATATCAATATCATCAAATGTTGACGAATGATTTGCTGATGACATAAGAAAATCCAATCGACATGTTGGTAAACATAATTCAAGATATGTTTTAACTAAACGTAAATCACCTGAATTACCATCTAAACCATGTACACATATAACAAGATGTACACCATTATTATCATATTGTATAAATTGTTGATTAAAATAAGGAATTGTTGATACAAGATTTGAAAAATCCGAATAAAACATTAAATTTGAAGAATATTTTGAAGATATTATTTGTTTCATTTTTTCTTTATGAATAACATATCTAAATGATAGATTATTATTTGAAGATGAAACTATTCATTGTATTTAATGATGATACGATATATGAACCGGACATGAAGAATAAATTAAAGAAATAAATAGTTTTTGTTTGAACAAGTTTTTTATTATTAAATGATATGTCGCAATTAGTTTCCAGACACATGAAGTACGGCCGAAACATGGTAGGAATTTGGAAGCAGAAATCCGATGAATGAATTCACTGACCAGATTTATCCAATTTCGGCCGAAACCGAACAGAGTTGGCAACTGGATACTACTATCGGGTTTCTACTTCCAACTTCCCATAATGTTCCGGCGTTCTTGACTGGAAACAATGTCTTTTCTGTAATTTTCTGCCGAAAATTCACGGATCCGAGCATCGGAATTATTGACCTGAGTTCTTGTAATTTTTTATCAGAAAGTTCATATTTAACACGTTTCTTTAATGTTAGATGTGAGCGTTCGTTCTCTCTTGACCCACATCCACACTCAACTATTAAAGTTTTGTTAATTTCTTCTGTATTATCTTCGATATAATAGCTCATCTGTCTCTGCTTAGAATTCAGCACAGAAAAATCTATCAAAGATTTGAAAATGGAATAACATGTGAACTTGATAATTCTTCAACGATTGCAATGCGAACTTGTAAAACTAAAGTAATATGTTCAATATGAATTTGATGAAACATTACAACAAATCATTTTGTCCTTTTATTTGATAACAAAAGACTTATCCTTTAAGTGAGAAAGAGCTCTGTTCAGTTTTTGATATTCAT